GCCGTATGGCGACAGGCCTCAGCTACCTGCCAAATTCGTACACTATGTCTGGAAACAGAAATAGCCGCTGACAATGCCTGTGCTCCGCAGAGTTGCTTTGACGAGCCATGACAGAGAACTTTAGTGCATCGCCGGATCCAGCGGTACCAGAGGTCCTGTAGTGTTTGGCATTGTAGAAAATTAAACACTTTCCCTGTATTGAAAAACAATGCATTTAAACGAACTATAAACCATACCTACATGTTTTATTCGGCAGTCCAATTAAATCCCACCTTTAACATGGGGTTTGAGTTGAGATAGCCAAGTTTGCGGCGAGGTTCAGAAACCACTATCTATCTAGGTTGCAACCCCCGCGGCCTCTTGGTGTTGAAGAAAGTCGTTCCCTTCATTTGAAAATGGGCCTTGTAAGTACAAGGCCCTATCTTCAACATGGAGCGACCGTTAGTGTGACGTCACCTCGTTTAGTCATTCTGATTTAAAGGGGCACTCCCACCTTAACATTAGTTTTGAGTTGAGATAGCCAAATTGGTGGCCATGGCCTGCAAATACCGGTTTGGGCACTCACAACATCGACAAATGTTTTAATTGGGAGATATGGAATTTCAAACTTGCAGTTTTCGGATTCTAAGGGGCTAGTGCATTGGTATGCCCCCTTAGAATTTGTGACGTCAGCGGAGATCTAACGATTTTTAAATCTTTTACTAAAACGTTTGGTAGCACGCGGTGGTATATGCTGCTTTGCGCGCAACAAATGCCGCACTTTCAAATTAAGTCGCTAGGAACAGCGGAGATCCAAAAACTAAACAAAAGTAAAAGTCTAATATCTTGAAAACCGGTGAATATTTTTCGATGAAATTTGGTAGATATTCGTTTTCGCTCTTTCTGAACCGAGCGACATCACTTTCGTGCCAATTCATTAACTTTTTTGAAGGTGGGAGGGTCCCTTTAAATGGGGTTGTTCGTTGAAAAATCGCTTAAAACTTGGTCTGAACTTTGTTGTGGTGCCTACAGAGTAAAAAGAATCAGCTTTATGACAGTAATGTGGCCTGGGGAAGGAGGTAATTTTGGGCTGTGACGTCACATATTTGAAAGTTTGTGTTTGGAATATGGGAAGCCTAAGATGCTTAATGAAAAATAAATGCCAGAACCGTGTTCCTGGTCATCCAATCTATAAAGTCGGGCACAATTTAACTGGTTTTAACAACATTTTAGGAGGTGGGATAGTCCCTTTAAGGAGAAATCAGAAACCGCTTATTTTTTGCGAAAGTTTTGGAGACAATTTCCTCCGCAGCATTCGATACCGTAGATCTGGATCCTCCAATGCTTTAAATGTCCTTTGTCCATGCTCCACTTTAGCAGCTCTACACATGGGTCAGCTATATGTGGTGACTTTATGTGCGCTGAGTCTTAGATAATTACCCCGCGCCCTGGTGGGGGGGGGGCTATTTTTTGCCCCCCTCCAGACTTTTCGATATATCTCCAGAACCGCTGCGCCGATCGTCACCAAACTTTCAGTACCCTCCCGGACATCAATTTTACACATGGTAACCAAAAATTTTTCCAAAGGCTATGATAGGTTAGCCGGAAATGACGTCAGAGTGACTGTAATAGAATTTAAACAACCGAACACCAGTAGCGCCCAAAAGTCTCTCGTTTATTCACAAAATTCTCCAAACAAATTTGTACGTACAATTATTTCCGCGTGGAATAATTTCACGCACTTCAATAATCATACCACTTCTGACACACGCCCCTCTGATCTTCAAGATCACTAAAACGCACACAAACAAAATATCAAAAACGTTATCTTCGGTCATAAAACCGCGGCCAAGCTAGGCACCATCGTCGGTCACAAAACCGGGCACCATAATTGGTAACCAAACCGTGCACCTTAATCGGTCAACAAACCGGAGCACTCGCCGCTCACCACCCGGGCACCATCACCGGGCACCATTGCCGGTCTCCAGCACCGGTCTTCATTACCGGTCTTCATTACCGGTCTCCAGCACCGGGCTCCATCACCGGGCTCTTCCAGCACCGGTCTCCAGCACCGGGCTCCACGACCAGTCACCATCACCGGGCTCCATAACCGCGGTCTCCAGCACCGGGCTCCATCACCGGGCTCCACCACCGGGCTCCATCACCGGTCTCCATCACCGGGCTCCATCGCCGGTTACCATCACCGGACTCCAGCACCGGTGTCCAAACTGGACAAAATCGAATGGGTCGTTGGTTCGTTGTCGTGCCTCGCCTCTTCGCCATTTTTAACTTCCTTTGTCTTCCCTGGCGAATTTTCCCTTATTTTATACAATACCTAATAAGAACGAGATAAGGCCGAAATAGCTTGTAATAGAATTTAAACAACCGAACACCAGTAGCGCCCAAAAGTCTCTCGTTTATTCACAAAATTCTCCAAACAAATTTGTACGTACAATTATTTCCGCGTGGAATAATTTCACGCACTTCAATAATCATACCACTTCTGACACAGTGACGTCATGTTCTGCCGTTTTCGACCCAAAAAAGGGTTCCGCGGGAAGAGCTGTCAGGCCTATAGCTTTGCAAATACAGAAAAATGATAAGGACATAAAAGCTGTAGAATTGACAGGGCTACAAAACTGTTATCTCGGATTTTTGAAATTTTTGGATTTTGACCCCTAAAAATCAAAAAATAGATTTTTGGGATATAATAGTCAAAAAATCCAAAAAGTTTTTTGAATTTCGCAAAAACCGGAATATATGTGATAGTCCTTACCGCCTTCCATCCACATACCAAATTTTAGATTGATACCTCTTTTTTTGGCGAAGTTAAAGCGAAAAAACTGTTCAAAATTGATGACGTCAAATTTTCAAACTCAATTTTTAGCAATTCTAGACCTCGTAGCGCAAAACAAAGACCACCATTAGACTCCCCGTGATGAGCTGCATCGAATCGATACCAATTTAATGCAAAAATATCAACTTTAAAATTTGACCTTTTTTGACCTGACCTTGACCTGACCTCCACCAGAAAGTGACCTAAACCGTACCTGATGGTCTTATAACCAACACCATTGGGTTGGAAATGAAAAATTGGCCATAAAACATGCATCGCACAACCTTAGTAAAGTTGGGTTCATGGGGTGACCCTTGGTGACCGTTGGTGACCTGACCTGTGACCTGACCTGGTATGACCAGTGACCTCTACTAGCAACATATGTACTAGACAACTGACGTCTTATCGCTGATTTTCGACAAAATGCGTTTTATTCGGTGTTATAGCGCTTTCCCTAGAAGCCCCGTGAACGGTGAAACATTTTATCTTTGACCTGACCTGTGACGTCATCGGTGACCCCGAGGTCAATGAAATTTGGTTTCCCTCGACAAATTTGACAGGGCTATCGAACGCCGTTTGAATTTTGCGGATCCGTCCAGTAGTTTCGGAGATACGAGGGGGGGCAAAAAATAGCCCCCCCCCCACCAGGTCGCGTTATAAACAGACCCCACCTGGGCCCGATTTCACCAAGTGAATATATTCTTGGTGTACTTTGGAAAAGTACACCGACAAAGTACGACGACAATACTATTCTGTTTCACCACAGGAATATATTCACTACGCCCGCTTTACGTACTTTGAGAGCCACCGGCGCGCATGCATATATCTTTTCTTGTCGGGGACATGCAGTCACTATATTTTTCCGTATTTAAAGTCGACGAGCTTAAATGCTCAGATATACAATATTATGGAAAAAAATTATGGCTACTCTAATAAGAATTAAATTTGCTGATCATACAAGAGGAAGTGCCTAAGGAAATATTGCTAATAATGCTCTTGATTTTTGCTCGGGGCATGACCAGAAGACCATGACCAGAAGACCACTTAAAGATCATGAAGAGTTGGCTCAAACTGCTATAAGTGAATTGAAGGCCATGACTGAGCCAATCATAAGCGAAGAAAAGGTTCAAAGATGTGTTAAAAACATGAAAGGCAAGACATCAGCAGGTCCTGATGGACTGAAAGCAGAGATGTATAAAGCACTCCTAAAGACAAGGGACGGATTGAAAATATTAACGAGCTGTATAAGAAGAGAAGTGGAAGAAAGAAGGAAAATGAGTGAATGGAAAACATCAAAGACAAGAATGATAAAGAAGGTACCACGCCCAACAGCAAAAGACCTTAGACCTATAGCGCTCACAAATGTAGGGTATAAAATCTTCATGACCCTAATGAAAAATGAGATTGAAGAACACATAAGAGAAAATGATGCTATAATTGAAACCCAAGCTGGATTCACGAAAGGGGGGAAGATTGAAGATAACCTCTACATCCTGAACTATTGCGTAGAAGACAGCTATAAAAGGAAGACCCCACTGTATGTTACATCAATCGATTATAGAAAAGCATTTGATTCCGTGAAAAGAAGTGAAATGATAAGAGCTTTGATGGCATATAAGATCCATCCAAAAGTTATAGATGCCGTAGCAGATATATACCAAGGAGACTCTACACTGATCAACTTGAATGAGAGCACAACAGAGGAAATGGACGTGACAAGTGGAATTCGACAAGGATGTACCGGTTCTACAGCATTGTTCAAGATTGTTACGTATATAATCACCAAAGAAATACAGGAGACAACGCTTGGGTTCAGAAACAGGAAATTCTACATTCCAATACTGTTCTTTGCAGACGATGGACTAATATTAGCACATTCACTTCATGAAACACAACTGCTGATCAAAGTTCTAACCGAAGTGAGTAAGAAGTGTGGTCTGGATATTAACAAGGATAAAAGTGCTGTATTGGTAAATAATCAGACATGATTCAGTTTTATTCACGATCGATGGCAACACAAGTCAAATTCCTAAAACCAGGAGACAACGCTTAGGAATTTGGTTTTAGGAATTTGACTTGTGTTGCCATCGATCGTGCTGTATTGGTAATCAATTGCAAGGAACAACCAGCTGAAGTAGAAGGAATACCGACAACAGACAAGTTGAAGTATCTGGGTATGAGGATTGGAAATCAGCGAAACATGTTCAAGGAGCAGAAACAGCAGATGATAGAAAAAGCTCAAAGGATGGCAAACATGACTTATGGGGTGATCGCGAGAAGTTGCAACAAGCTCATGATAGGAAAAACATTCTGGAAGAGCCTTGCTCTACCATCCATTTTGTATGGTGCCAACATATTCTACATAACGGAAGAAGAGGTAAAGAAACTGGAAATGATAGAAAACGGAGTATATCGACAGATACTCGGTGCACCGAGATATACCGCCAACTGTGCCCTCCGGGGCGAAATTGGAGCTTCGACGATGAAAACAAGAGTTATGAAAGGGCATCTACAGTATGTTAGAAGCACTCTTCAAGGAAATAACCAACTATTGAAGGAAGTAATAGAAACTCAATTAGAAGAGAAGAGTACGAAATGGGCAAAAATGATCAACGCGCACCTAGAAACGCTAAACCTAAGCCAAAAAGACCTGAGAGACTTGAAGAAAGAAGAACTTAACCAAAATATGATCAGGTGGGACGATAAAAGATGGAAAGAGGAAGTAGAGACCAAAACAAGTCTGAGGATATACAAGAGATGGAAACTGAAGGTAAAAGAAGATGATGTATATGACAACACCCCACAATCAAGAATCCTCTTTCAAGCAAGAACGAACACTCTCCCTCTGAACTCTAGGAAGAGGTTTACAAAAGAGAAAACAAACTGTGTTCTGTGTGATGAACAAAATGAGGATCTAAAACACTTCTTGTTGGAATGTCCAATATTGAGTGAGATTAGAGAGAAATGTCCCGAACTGCAACAGCCATACTGGGAAGATAAAGAAGAAGTGTGGGTGTGCGTGTGTGTGTGTGTGTGGTGTGTGTGTGTGTATGTGTGTGTGTGTGGGGGGGGGTGTTGGTGTGTGTGTGTGTGTGCGTGTGTGTATGTGTGTGTGTGTGGTTTTTTTTAAATTATATTTGGTGAATTGACACGTTTCCGAGTCGCCCACCCGGGGGCGGAGCGGACGCTAACAATCGTGTAAGATTGCCCCACTTCTGGTGGAAGAGATCGAGTTTGTCGCTTGTTTTTGCAATGTGTTGTTCTTTTTGCAGTTCAATCTTTATCATTTGCAACACGACCATCGTTGATGGCATAGAAGACCTGAGACGTGATTTGTGAATGTGATCTTTAATAAGCGTGAATAAAAGCATGGCTATTTTTGATAAGTCTTTAAGAAAAAACCAGCTTACTTTGTTCACGATTATATCTATTCCGTATTCCTGTTTCAGGTGGGATAATACTTCTTTAATTAATATTTGAGTCTTGGGACACTGCCAAAATAAATGAAGGATAGTTTCCGATGTTTCGCTACAGAAGGAGCATGCATTATTGTTTACATAGTTTATATTGTGCAGAAACTTATTTGTGGCGTATATTCTGCTTATTATTCTATAATGAAGAAATATAAAATATGTATATGATGTTGCCTTCGATATTTGTTCCACTGTGCCTTCAACGAACTCGCCAATATCTGTAGTCCACTTTGCTTTAAGACGTAGATTGGACTCTTTGTTAGAATTCCGCATACTTCCAACAAATGCTCGATATGCTAATTGGGGAAAATTGCTGGTATTCAATACCTGGTTAATTTTGTATGGGATGTTTGGTTTTATTATCAACGATTTGTCTATTTCTTTTCGAATCTCTTTTGGTAAGCTTCGAACAAGGGATGCGTAACATAAAAAGTTCATACGTATGCCGTAGGTTCTTTCAACATCTTGTCTTGAAAGAATTAATCCAGTACGTAGGTTATATAGATCTCCTATAAACCTCAGGCCTTTATCATTCCATTTCTTTATAATAGTTGTTCCGTACTTTGTCCAATTTGAGAACCAAATGTTTTCCGAAGCAAGTTCCTCTATTGATGGATAATATTCTTGATTAAACTGAACCCATGCATCTATAAGGTTCAAATAAAATGGATTTGTTGTATTTCTTTTACATAGTTCTAACTTCTTATAACCATATGTTAACATGTTTTGTATATCTGGGAGTTCTGTTCTAGCAATAGTAGTCCAATCTGCACTGGAGATCCACATGCGCTTTAACCATGTTAATTTCATACTTTTAATGAATGATTGTAACTCAATCATGTTTAGTCCATCCTTGGAATAACTTTGTATTATTTTTGTACGCTTTACTTTATCATTCTTTCGTCCCCAAATAAACTCAAAAAATATTTTTTCTAGTTCTTTTATACGTTGTTTTGAAGGATTAGGCAGTGCCATAAATAAATGAACAAGTTTCGAGAGCAATAAGGTTTTAAGTACGCATATTCTACCAATCGGTGTTAGGCTTCGCCTTTTCCATTGTTGTATCAATGACATAATCATGGGCATCTTTAGCTGTATGTTGTTGTCTGTTACATTAGAAGCATCGTCGGTTATCTTAATTCCAAGTATTGTCATTTCTTTTACAGCTTTTAGTGGGCATTCAGGATATATTTCTTGATCTTTCAAAGAACCTATTTCCATAATGGAAGTTTTCTCAACATTTATTCTTAGGCCTGATTGGGAACCAAACTTAGTTAATTCTGTCAGGGAACCGGCAATTGATTTTTCTGATCCGTCTAAAAACAATATAGTATCATCCGCGTACTGACTTATCCGTATCTCGTTTCCCTTTATGATTATCCCTTGTAATTCCTTTGACTTTTTAATTTGTTCAGTTAGGATGGAAGCTGCCAAGTTGAACAGATATCCTGATGCAGGGTCCCCTTGCCTTATACCTCTTTTTAGATGTATTTTTTTGCCTAGATGCCCGTTAAGTAGAATTCGTGAGTGATTGTTCTCGTTTAGATATAACGATTTGACTATGTATTTCATGTAAGGGCCAAAATTTAATTCGTTTAGTACCATCTCGAGGTACTTCCAATCTACTGATTCGAAGGCTCCTTCGAAGTCTGCGGCCAATATCACCCCAGGTTTCTTGTTAATTTTAGCCCAGTGTATCACGTCTAGCACGAGCCTAGTATTTTCTCCGATATATCGGCCTGACGTGTAAGCTGTTTGGGCTGGGCTGATTACTTTAGACATTATTGTTTTTAATCTATTTGCTACGGCTGTTGATATAATTTTATAGTCAGTGTTTAGTAGTGTAATAGGTCTCCAAGCCTTGGCTGAATGGAGTGGTTTTCCTTTTTTGGGGATTAACGTTATCATACCTTCGCGATGTGTATTTAAACCCCGACCGTATTTTAGTGATTCTGTAAGTGCTCTGTGTAAAAATGGACCTATTTCGGCCCAAAAGCAGCGGAAAAATTCGACAGGGAATCCGTTTGAGCCTGGCGTTTTCCCCTTTTTCATTGAGCGTAGTGCGTCTGTAAGTTCAGACATCTGAATGTCAGCTTCTAACGCCTCGTTATCCATATTGTTTAGTTTATCTCTAATATTACTGGATATAAATGTTTTATTTGGGTTTATCTCACTATTTGTACTGTATTTTTGTTCAAACATGTTTGAAAAGTTCTCTAAAATTTCTTTTGCATCTGTGATATTTCTCTCACCGACCTGAATGTATTGTATATTTTTTCTATCCGCATTTCTTTTTTCTAAAGAGAGAAAGTATTTTGAATTCCTTTCCCCTTTCTCGTGCCAGGATACTCTTGATCTGACGATGAGTCCGTCTATAAGTGGACGCCTTAGTTCCTCTAATTCATTCTTTAGTATGTCTAGCTGAACAGAGTCGTTTGCCTGGCCAGAACTAGTTAACTTTTCTTCTGCGATCGTTATTTTTCTCTCTAAACTTTTCTCTCTCTGCCTCGTGTGTCTTGCTTTTTGTTTTGAAAACTGCACGGTTTCTCCTCGTAACATCATAAGCAATTACATATATAAAAATCAAAATGTCCGTATGTATGTATGTATGTATGTAACGCGTCAGTCACGCTTGGCGGGCTATTGCTCCGGAACGGTGCGGGCTACGGGGGTGAAATTTTGGACTTAAGTCGGACGCGTGCATCTGTTTGTCGTATTAAATTTTGGTGGGGGTGGGTTCGGTGGTTTGCACGTGGCGGGCGCATCTTTGTAGCATTTTGGGCCGCGGCCGGCGCCGAGCAGACGGCACGCGCCCTAGGCTCAGATTGTTCGCTGAGAAAATGAGGGAAAACAGAGTCGGAGGTCGTTGACCTTTGGCAATGAATACCGGAACAGAGCACCGCCGGCCAGGAGGAGACGCCAAATTTATTCTGGCCATAACTCGGCCGCTACTGGGCCGATTTTGATGAAACTTGGTTTATTACGCTGCGCGTAATGCTGTCCCTCTAGTGTTTCATAAAATAAGCAATCGCTTACAGTAAGCTGAATTTCTTGGTATTGTGTACTGTCACTGTAAAAAACCTCTTGATAGACGGGGACCGCATATTGTTTTAGCGTGTGGGTAATGCATGCTTTAATTCTTTTTACATATTCTTCATCCTTCAAATGTGCAGTGTTAAGCTTCCATATTCCATTACCCCTCTTGTTTTTGCTTTGAATTTCTAGAGTAATCATATTGTGATCGGTGCGATACCCAGGAATGATGTCAATCGAGTTCAATGAAGTTAATAAGCCTTCGGAAACAAAAAACATGTCAAGTCGTCCAGCTTTCAGTGGGCTTTTTCTGTACCATGTGTACTTTTTGTCCTCTGGATGGGCGTGCCGCCATGCATCAACAAGTCCGTGCTTATCCACACGCACACCCACACGCACAAGCACCTAAACTGATACAAACACATTGCACAAGCACACCGACACATGCATGTACGCACACAGTCACAAACGCAACCCAGTACAAACAGAAATGCCTACACATACATAAATGCAATCATTCCGTTTCTTTAACAGTGTAGTTTATGTTGTCTGTTTAATTACTTGTTTGTTTGGTTGCTCTTTGCTCACCTAGGTTACTGTTTGTTGTGTTTGAACGGAAGATTGTTGAACGTTACTGTGTTTGAACGCCGGCCTGTGGCGGAGCCCTGAGTTTTGCCGAGCATTGGGCCCCCGCCCCTATGACCCATCCGGGCTAACCTGGGTACCGGTCCCAATTGAAAGGGACCGGTCGGCCGCCCGGGCGGGCGGGGCGCCGGCCTGTCGAGTGTCGGGTCGGGTCGGCGCTCCCCTCGCCCGGGCGGTGGTTAGGGGGCACCCCCGGGAAAAATGATTTTCCGGGGGTGCGGGCGGGGGCCCGCGGCCCGTGATTCGTTACGCCAACGAACAATCGAAACGGAAGGAGTGGCGCCCGCTCACTGTCTTCGACAATCGAGTTTACTATGTTGTGCATACTGTGCGGCCAGAAATAAGCGGTATTGCTGCACGCTGTTGCAGTTTGTGTCTGCGATTTGTGTTTGGTGATTGTTGTCTGTGCAATAAGCTGTGAAGTGTGCCGTGTCCAATAAACTTCAGCGAATAAAAAAGGAAAAAAAAAAAAAAAAAAAAGATAAAGAAGAAGTCATTATGAAATTTCTATTTGATGATAATAGGAAACATATGGAAGATAAGAAACAAATTCTATACAGCATGTGGAAGTTAAGATATAGAAGGCAAAAAGAAAAAGAGCTCAATACTATCATGCACCCCATACCAACTCATAGCGCGATAGCTTAAGTACAGTTTAAAAGAATAGGAGGAGCCGTTGCAAAGGCAAATCCTCTAAACCATCATCATCATCATCATCATGACATTCCAAAGCCAAAATGTAAACAATCGACAGCAAGCCGCGCAGCACAGTTGAAGTTACTGGCGTGTGTGGGTTTTATTGGATTTTGAATTAATATTAATTTTTCTTCCAAGTTACTTCTCATTAAATATTGCTTTAATATTTTTTCACATCTTCTACGCAATTCTGGAGTGGTTTAGAGCAAATATAAATAAAGCAGAACAAGAAATGGCATTACTTGAGGCACCTATCTAACTACCGATCACTGATGGTAGCAAGGAGCACGGCCGACTAGCTGACAAGTTATCTGAAATATTACCTGAATCAAGTTTTTAAATAATCGAAGGGTCTACCGACGACTTCAAATATGGATAATATTTTGGAATCATTCTCTAAACCTAAACGGAAGCGGGAGGCCGGTGATAAATTGAATCATTTGGCCACAACACAAGAGAAATATGGACATTGGACAGCATATGGATACTGCAAAGAAATAGTAAAAGTGGGCGATGAAAACGAATGTAATGAAGCGTTGTGACTTGTGATGCAACATGCTGGGCATGTCAAGTTCTTCCTCTCGCCCTCGCCAGCTATTTACTTTCTCTTCGGTAAAACGCTGTATAAAGAGCACGGTGTAATAATCACGGTGAGAAATATTTGAAATGCTTTTGGCCTTTTGTGTTATCAAAATACAATGTGAACTGTCGTTTTTTTTTTTGAAGTGAAAAACTCAATAATGTAATCGGGAATGCGAATGAAAAAGGGAATTCCCTGTTGTGTTTCTGCATGATGGGGTGATTTAAATCGCAGTGATGCCACGATGAGATAAGCCTTATAAAAATAGCTGTTCTGGGGTTTAATTTCAATATAAGCCCTGACACACGATACCCTATATATCCAGCAAGAAATAACCATTATGACCTCTAAAACTTTTTGCGTAGCCAGTGGCATGTTTTTATCATACGTTGCATCGATGAAGTCATTAAATTTGTAACATTATCATACAAAAAAATTGATGTATGCCAAGCTGTTTCTCAAAGTATGCCACAAAAAGTAGCATACTTTCAATGCCAGCAAACTCGGCAAACAGCTGTTGAAAAAGCAGATCGGCGTACCAGAAGTACCTCAAACGTAATAGTATGCCAAAAAACGACGGACTTCTGCAGTCATACTTTGTCTTTGTCTTGAATAAGTATCCCTGTACGGAGTTTGGCGAAACTGAATATGTCATAATATGCCAAAAGTGAATATGTACGCCGCCGTAATGGAATATATTCACTTGGTGAAATCGGGCCCTGGTGGCTTGCTGCACACCATTTTATGACCGACACGTTCAGGTACACGCCTGTGTGCGCCGTATACCCGTCAGAATTCGTTAACTTGAGATGCACGAGTTTGAAGTTGAACTTTTTTCGCTCCCCATGTTAAGTCAATGGGCGATTTTGCAGAGACATTTTCATTCGTTCATTGTACAAAATTATATGATACGATTTTTGTTTCAACTTTCAGGGTTTGTAACCCTGGCGCGGGTTACAAACCCTGTCTGTAAGTAGCAACGACTAATGCCATTCATGGCAACCAAGGAGCATACCTAACAAGGATTCATTAGTCCCGCAGGCTAATGACGAATCGTGTGCTCGTTTAACCACTCGTGGCCTGCGCAATCCTGGTTATCACGATTGACTTATCACTGATCAGGCATGACAAAGCATGCCACTCAGTCGTTATATCATCCAAATGTGTTGATATTGAGCATAGCTGGTCTAAACCAACTTCCCACACTACATTGCCTATTTATTGCTTGACGTGCGAAATGCGCCGTAGTTGGGTGCCGTGTAGTCCTGCAAAGTGACATGAGACATCTAAACCCAAGCTAAGTGGAGTTCGTTGTAAATTAGTCTCAAGATTTATTGAGGAGCACAGTGTTGGTTGCGCTAGGCCTGCTAGATGACCAATGACCCAGTCAGAGGCACTTGGTGAATGGGATGGAAAGATCCTCAGCATTTCAAAAGACGGATGCCTCTGCACATTATGTAACGGTCTTTGCGTTTAACTTCAGCTGAATTAGACAAGTTTGCGACCAGTCGTGCCGGGTGGGAAGTCACCGTTCCACTATAAGTCGCGACACTCGTTCATTTCTGACTGTCACGTGAAAAGTGGATGTGCCTCACCAGAAAAAGCAGCCCAATCCTCTGGGGTCTCTAACTTAACGACTTGTGTGTATTGCCTGGTAATGCGGGAATATGGGCCAGAGAGTCTGTTTGCATTATTCGGCATTCAAATCGTTAATAAGGGCCAATGGGGCCAATATAAGTCATTTGTAAGAGCAAATAATATCATTTCAAGCGGCGGCTCGAATTAAATAATTACGAGCAAGCGAGCGCAGCGAGCGAAGTGAGTCTTTTCAATATAACGGAAAAATCTCAGTATGAGCGGCCCGGCCTGTAACGCTTTTGAGAGGCTTATATCTCAGCAACCGTTGGACCGATTGGCCTGCGGTCTTTTTTGTTGGGTAGCCCCATCCCTTCTACCCCGTAATTGACTACTTTTGATACATCTCAGTGACCTTCGTGGCACGTGCCACGTGAAAAGTCAAGGGTGTTCAAGCTGTTTTGCAAAAGTAGTGATTTTGAGAGGCTCATATCTCAGCAGCTGCTTGGGCGATTGACTTGCGGTAATTTTTGTAGGGTAGCACCATCTCTTCTACCCAAAATAGGATACTCTCGATGCATGTGGGTCACCCCCAGTGCACGTGCAAAATACAACAATAAGAGGTGCCAAATTTGTTCCCATTTCAGTAACTCGGTAATTACTGGGGCGATTTCGCTGAAACTTGGCATACAAGTAGGCACCCACCAGGCCATGCATTCCTATATGTTGCAGTTAGGGTGCTACTGCACGTGCGCACGTGCAGGGGGCGTTTCCAGATCTCGAGAACGGCTGGGCCGATTGCGCTCAAATTTGGTACACGGTTGGGGACCAGTTAGTAGGGTGCCGTGCAAAAGTCATTTTGGACCCGTTTGCACGTGCGCACGTGCAGAATGCCGCTTCCAGATCTCAGGAACGGCTGGGCCGATTGCGTTCAAATTTGGCACACCGCTAGCGACTGGTTAGAAGGGTGCTTTGCGCAAGCCTGTTGGAAGCACCCTCTCGCCCTTCCGCACGTGCAGGGCTCACTATCTCGCTCGCTCGTTCTTCGCCCAAAAGGCGTTTTACTGGTGCATAATTACGAGCGAGCGAAGCGAAGTCTTTTCAATATAACGGAAAAATCTCAGTATGAGCAGCCCGGCCCGGCCCGGCCCGGCCTGTAACGCTTTTGAGAGGCTTATATCCACCCACCAGGCAATGCATTCCCATGTGTTGCGGTTAGGGTGCTACTGCACGTGCGCACGTGCAGGGGGCGTTTCCAGATCTCGAGAACGGCTGGGCCGATTGCGCTCAAATTTGGTACACGGTTGGGGACCGGTTGGTAGGGTGCCGTGCAAAAGTCATTTTGGACCCCGTTTGCACGTGTGCACGTGCAGAATGCCGCTTCCAGATCTCAGGAACGGCTGGGCCGATTGCCGCATTGCGTTCAAATTTGGCACACCCCTAGCGACCGGTTAGAAGGGTGCTTTGCACAAGCCCGTTGGAAGTACCCTCTCGCTCTTCCGCACGTCCAGGGCTCACTATCTCGCTCGCTCGTTCTTCGTCCAAAAGGCGTTTTACTGGTAATAGGTAATAATGATAATGCCATCGAACTAAAATCTGTCGGGCAATAGCTAACATTGCCTTGGGCGGAAAACGTCATTATTCACTCGGTGACTCATTAGCGCCCGACACATTTGACAATGCACATTTAGAGAATGCCAGAAAGGCAACACTTTCAAACAAAATTTGTAAAATATTGGTGTCGGCTGCTCACACTGTCTGCACTTGCGGGACCGTGCCTGCATCATTTTAGGGTGCGACTGGCACTGTACTGAGAGCACGTATTTAGGATCAGTTGCTTACTGCAAAACTGATATTTTAGCCTCAGTTTAAGTTGAAATCTAGCATTTTAGCCTTCTGAAGCTCTTCACTGAGAGATAGATGGTTGAGAATAATACAAATAATGCGGCACTTGTTGGGGCATATCAGCATATGATCAGCATATGCAAGTCTTGCACGGCCTTTCACCATTATCAGCAGAGGTTCATGATCCTCAGCGGTCCTCGCTGCGTTCGACATATGTACATGGATCCAAGTGATGGATATATGATCTCAGTGGATCTCCAAGGAAACTGTGCATTAGGGTCTATGATCCCACCGAATCCCGCGTGAAAAATAAGTATGGATCTATGATTTCAGAGCATCTGACGATAAACCAAGAACAGGGGTCCATGATCCGAGTGGATCTCACCAAACAGAGCATTTGAAGTCACGTTTCTAAGTGTTTCTATGCAGGGTTGTGCTCGACTCCAAAAAATTTGCCGACTCGACTCATCATTCAACTTCAGAATGCCCTGACTCAACTCTGACTCAAACAAGGAGCTGATTTTTTCCCTTGACTCGACTCATGACTCAAGCGGCTCATTGAAAATATGAGTTGACTCAAACTTGACTCAAATTTTTTGTTGAGTCAAGGGTGTTGACTCAAAATTGACTCAGATGAAAAAAGTTGTTGAGCGGGGGGGGGGGGTGAAAAAATCCGGCAGCAGGGCCAGGCCTAAGTTGTTAAGCGGGGGGAGAATGAAAAACTTATACTTTATATTGTTTCTAGAAAGTTGAGTCAGCTGACTCGTGTTCCTAAATGTTTTTGACTCAACTCAATGTCAAAAGTTATTTTACTGACTCAACTCTGACTCAACTCAACGCCTTAATATTTTTGTCCGACTCAACTCTGACTCAACTCAACAGCTCAACATTTTATCCGACTCGACTCAAATCTGACTCATTTGAGTCAGAGTTGAGTCAAATTTCTGACTCGACTCATGAGTCAAGCACAACCCTGTTTCTATGTGAGCAAGTGACACAAAATCATGAGTTATGACGT